GTATGCGAAAATGCGCGAAGAATTTCTACAAATTAATGTAAATAAAATAATGTCGGGATTGAAACAGAATAGAAAGTGAACACAAAATTTGAATACAAACTTGGCCGATTTCCTTTTGAAAAAGGCGAACTCGTTTTATAACACACGATTTAGTTTGTGTAGACATGCATTCCAAACAGTTATACCAGCTCTTGCCCCAAGGTTTTCAAGAGTAACATAACAATTCTTTGTATTCGACAGGTTTTCGAGCAAAAATGATACTTTCGAAAAGAAGATGAACAATTTATCATAAAAAACTGAAAACTTTCGCAACATAGTTTTTTTATTGAACCTCGAATTAACTATTTAGGAAAGGCCACTGAATCGAATTGGATCGCTGCATTTGTATCCCCTATGAGTACTTGAATTCCTACCCTATCTGCTAGATCATAGGCGATCGACGGATACTTCGATGGATATTTACGTCCGGAGTGTAGGATAAGACTCACCCAAGTGAAAAAACTAGCAACAAAATCAATGTTGACGAGAGACGGAGAATTTAGAGACAGAAAAAGATAACCGGAAAAAAATGGCATATTAGCGGATTTTCGAATCTTACTTCACAAAAGGCTATTCAAATAACATCACAGTTACCGTCATTGACTTTAAATTGACGGTACGCACGTGCGCCATCGCGTTAGCCTTCGACGCGACCTTTGAGACGGCGATGGCGGCCTAATTTAAGATGGTGTATAAAACTACCGAACTTCTGGGGAATCAGACACCAGGTGAGATGATAGCGATGCCCCTGCTGCATTTCAATCACCGGGCATATAGTTTTGTGTTTACTAAGCAAGTCCATTGATAAGCAACAAGTATAACTTGAGTTTAGTGAACACTAAATCGACTCACAGATTTTTTTTTGGTTGACAGAGGGGTCCCTCACTCTATTTTTTATGACTAAAATAGGGGAGCACCACAATGAGAACTGTATGATTTAATTCACGTGATTGTTTTTGGAGGTAGACATCGAAGTATACTTACACAAAATGTACTGTTTGAGTAAATGCTAGCTCATAAGTTTAAATCGAAAACTAGTTTTCAAATCTAGGACTTAGGTATTAGAAAAGGAATTCGTTATGAATCTTTTTCAAAATTTTTGAGATTCTTCATTAACTAGATTCGAACTTCAAAAAACTTTTTGCTATTATAATATTTAATTGCTCAATTTTCAATTTTATTTCTACCATTTTTTTAAAAACTTTTTTGAAAACTTTCGGGTATGTTTTAATCAATTTTTGTTGAGAAAAACCAGTATATTGTTGGGACACGTGACTTTCTGACAAGCTGTAAGTTCAGTGCCTAATGAAAAAAATATACAAACAAAAAGTTTGCTTGCATTTCGAAATGTGGCAGTTTATAGCTTCTTTCTTGAACAGCTTTTGACTTCCAGCAGATTTTAATAGAATCAAAAGGAGCAATCACAGTGCACATAAGCATAATAACCTTAGGACACCAGTTTTCTTCCAAAAAAAAATTTCATTTGTTGAATTGATTGAAGCGAAGCTGCATTTAAATAACCCAAGCAAAAACTGCAGTATGCGAAAATGCGCAAAGAAATTCTACAAATTAATGTAAATAAAATAATGTCGGGATTGAAACAGAATAGAAATTGAACACAAAATTTGAATACAAACTTGGCCGATTTCCTTTTGAAAAAGGCGAACTCGTTTTATAACACACGATTTGGTTTGTGTAGACATGCATTCCAAACAGTTATACCAGCTCTTGCCCCAAGGTTTTCAAGAGTAACATAACAATTCTTTGTATTCGACAGGTTTTCGAGCAAAAATGATACTTTCGAAAAGAAGATGAACTATTTATCATAAAAAACTGAAAACTTTCGCAACATAGTTTTTTTTTATTGAACCTCGAATTAACAATTTAGGAAAGGCCACTGAATCGAATTGGATCGCTGCATTTGTATCCCCTATGAGTACTTGAATTCCTACCCTATCTGCTAGGTCATAGGCGATCGACGGATACGTCGATGGATATTTACGTCCGGAGTGTAGGATAAGACTCACCCAAGTAAAAAAACTAGCAACAAAAATCAAAGTTGACGAGAGACGGAGAATTTGAGACATTAAAAGATAACCGGAAAAAAATGCATACTGGCGGATTTTCGAATCGTACTTCCCAAAACGCTATTCAAATATCATCACAGTTACTGTCATTGACTTTAAATTGGCGGAACGCACATGCGCCATCGCGTTAGCCTTCGACGCGACCTTTGAGACGGCGATGGCGGCCTCTTTTAGGATGGTGTATAAAACTACCGAACTTCTGGGGAATCAGACACCAGGTGAGATGATAGCGATGCCCCTGCTGCATTTCAAACACCGCGCATTTAATTGTGTGTTTACTAAGCAAGTCCATTGATAAGCAACAAATAACTTGAGTTTAGTGGACACTAAATCGACTCACAGATATTTTTTTTAGTTAACAGAGGAGTCCCCTCACTCATTTTGCCCGTTTATGACTAAAATAGTGGAGAACCACCGATGAGAACTCTATGATTTAATTCACGTGATTGTTTTTGGAGGTAAACATCGAAGTATACTTACACAAAATGTACTGTTTCAGTAAATGCTAGCTCATAAGTTCAAATCGAAAACTAGGTTTTAAATGTAGGACTTAGGTATTAGAAAAGGCATTTGTTATGATTTTTTTCTAATTTTGAGATTCTTCATTAACTAGATTCGAACTTTTAGCTATTATAATAATTTTAGCTATTATAATAGTTAATTGCTCAAATTTAAATTTTGTTTCTACCATTTCTTTTTACTTTTTTGAAAATTTTCGAGTATGTTTTAATCAGTTTTTGTTGAGAAAAACCAGCATATTGTTGGGACACGTGACTTTCTGACACGCTGTAAGTTCAGTGCCTAATGAAAAAAAAAATGCAAACAAAAAGTTTGCTGGCATTTCGAAATGTGGCAGTTTATAGCTTCTTTCTTGAACAGCTTTTGAATTCCAGCAGATTTTAATAGAATCAAAAGTAGCTATCACAGTGCACATAAGCATAATAACCTTAGGACACCAGTTTTCTTCCAAAAAAAAATTTCATTTGTTGAATTGATTGAAGCGAAGCTGCATTTAAATAACCCAAGCAAAAACTGCAGTATGCGAAAATGCGCGAAGAAATTCTACAAATTATTGCAAATGAAATAATGTCGGGATTGAAACAGAACAGAAATTGAACACAAAATTTGAAGACAAACTTGGCCGACTTCCTTTTGAAAAAGGTGAACTCGTTTTATAACACACGAATTAGTTTGTGTAGACATGCATTCCAAACAGTTATACCAGCTCTTGCCCCAAGGTCTTCAAGAGTAACATAACAATTCTTATGTTTTCGAGCAAAAACAGGTTTTCGAGCAAAAATGATACTTTCGAAAAGAAGATGAACTATTTGTCATAAAAAACTGAAAACTTCCGCAAAATAGTTTTTGAATTGGTTTAAGATATTTTTGCCTCAAATTCAATTTTAATCGTGTAAAAACCTATGAAAAAGTTACCCAGTTTCGAGAAAAGGGCAGCTGAAGACTTCGATTTGGCATCAAGAGATGATAAAGGTGGGAACAGCAATTTAAAGTAAGACTTTATACAGTTTATTTTAGCCCAGCCATACATTGGGCCTTTCTTCCGGGGGAGAGTTGCCATCCATTTCACCGTAGCTGGTCCCACTTTGAATATTTCAGTTTTTAAACGTAAAAATCGTTCACCTCCTTTTGGAAATTAGCAAACTTGCTCGAAAGCCTTTCTAAGACGAAGACTGTTTCACTTGAAGTATTAGTGCTGGTATCCAAAAAGACGACCATTGATCGGTTTGCAGTCTCAAAATATTCCAAAATAAAGCACGCGCGTGGCTCCATATCTTTCAAGCATGATACTTATGACTATAATTCATTTAATGAGATTACTTTAAATGAGGTAATTAAAACTATTATAAGCTGTTGATGTTTTTCTCCAAAAAATACAAATATTTAATTTCAATTATCTCGAAAATGCAACTACACTCATTTTCGCCTCTTGTAAACAATAAAAACGTTTCAAGCCGCTGCTGATTTGTTAACCGAAACAGAAATTTCTTTGGCTGAGGTTTTGTTTCTTGTAGTACAAAAAATATTTAGGGCTGATCTTTTTGTTTGATCTTTCTTATAAAACCAGTTTTCTGAAAAACTCCATTGAAAATCTCTTTTGATCCAAAAGAATCTCTAAAAGAATCTCCAAAAGAAAAACTACAGTATTTACGATTTTGAAGTAACTCACTTTAGTACTTCTAAGTTGTTTGTGCATTTTTTTTCTAAGAGACCTCCCCAATCCTGTAAAATAGTTTCTTACAATGAAGATTAAACGAGCTACATTTTCGGGATCTTGTTAACTATCCCCCCCCCATTGCAATGGGGTGAGGGAATAGTTAAAATGTTCAAAATTCGTATATGCTTAACTGATCAGCTCTTTTTTATAGGGAGGGAGATTCGTTACAAGGTACCTCAGGGGGGGGGGGGGGCGGGGGGGGGGGGAGTTAACAAGATCCCATTTTCGATATCTGCATTTGAAAATGAAGCTTTGATGCTATTATTTCAAACAGAAATGATCGAAGGCTGAAACAATTATATAGATGACCAATCTTTCCATCGAATCAAGAAAGGGTAGCAAAGAGAAACGATGATGACACAGAAGCAAATCGGAGCTTCGCATCACATGCAAAACCATTGTTTGTAAGAAAAAATTAATTGCTTTGGAAATTCAGCTTGAAAACCCTGACTTTTTACCTTTACCGCGTTACCTGTAAACCAAATGGGAAGCAGCATGCAGGTTGAACAATAAGCAAGTTGATTTCTTGAATAATTGTAAAAGTTGTTAGAAGTTTTGTTTCCGATTACAAGACACTTGCTCTCGCAAGCGTAAGGACGGATATGAGATTATGGTAAACGCGTTGTAGAACTCGGTAAGATAAATTGACCATAATCAGAAGTTAAATTATCATTTCGTACACTAATATTTTACAAATTGATAAATTATTTTAACAATTACTCCAGTTCAGCTAGTTTTTCAGGTATGTAGGCTACCACCGTTTGGTCAGAGCTTGCAGTTACTAGAACGCCATTTCTGTAGTTCAAATCAGTGACTGACATGTTGTGATCGCTAAGAGTGCGAACAACCTCTCCGCCCACACATGGCTCGCTGATTTTCACTTTCTTGTCTCCCGATCCTGTTATTATTGCCCCTGAATCGTATTGAATACATGTTACATTGTGATCATGCATATTTTCCCATTTGTAAGAGACTGTACATGTTTTAGGATCGATGCAAAAGACCGTTCCATTTTTGCTGCTAGCAAGTAGAATCTCATCTTTACACGACATTGACAACACAATGTTTCTCAATTTGATTTGATTCACAAGACTATTTGTTCGCACGTCAAAACATTTTATAGTCGAATCTTCACTGCCTGAGAAGAGATAGTTGTGGCCATAAGTTTGCAGGCATAACACAGCCTTCCGGTGATCAGTCTTCGAGATAGTGGTTCCCGTTTCAGGCGATCGTGAGTCGAAACTTCCGATGATCCTGTTGAACAAACTGTAATACACAACATCTCGCCTCTCGCCTTTGTCAAACTGGGCCAAAGAGAGAACGGCATTTCCTAACTTGTGAGTCAGAAAACAATGGGTGGTTTCAATATTCCAGAACTTAACTGTGTTATCCCAAGAGGCCGAAACAAGCATCTCGTCTCTGTCATTCAAACCTTTCAAATTCCAAACCCATCCAGCATGTCCCAAGAACTTTCTAGAATTTGCCTCATTATAGAGATCCCATTGTACAATTTGACGATCCCTTCCTCCTGAAAAAGCGAAGCGAGACTCCGTTGAAAGCCATACTGAATCGATCTCTGAAAAATGAACGTCTTTGAAAGTTTTCGTAGTGTATTTGCCCTTTTTCCAAATTTGCGCATTCGATTCTTGACTGACTGAGGCTTTCTGCCAATAATGAACATCGCTGAAAGTTTCACTGTCTAACGGAAGCAAAGGATACGGCCTGTTGTATTCTTCTGCCAAACGACATCGCCAAACAATCGGGTCTTCGATAAGAGCCAGAAACTTCTTGCAAACAAGAGCAACGTTAAGCACCAAATCCTTGCAGGATATGTAATAGAAAATTCGATTCAAAATCGAAGTCGGCAAGCTTGTTATGTTGAGGTTCTTCGACGAAATATCTGCCACTTTTCGGTCGAAACTGTTAAGGTTAAAACTTACTTCACTGCCAAAAGAATGTAGTTGATTTTTGTATTGATAATCAGAGTTCAAGGCTTGTACGTTAGAAGTAGATTCGATCAGATTCTGCTCGTACATTTCTTGGTCGGTTTGCTTTGGTTCTTGATTTTCATATATCGATTCAATGAGCTCTTCGAGTAAACTTTGAACTGAGCCCGAATTAAAGATTTCATCACAAACTTCGCCTTCTATAGCTTCAGCCATGACTCAATGAGATAAATACAAATAAAGTGATTGCTAATATTCTACAAAATAAATTTACTTTAAATAACTCATAGGACTCTGAAATATTAAACGTAATTCAGTTGATTACACAAAACATTTTAAAATCAATCATTCATCCGGTGGTAAATACTTGCTCAAGACTTACTGTTTTGCAGGAAAGCCGAGGCTTTGCTCTCAATTAAAACATTGTCTTTCAAATTAATTATATCAATATCAATCATACAACAGTCATCATAAAATTCTCACTTCAGATCTATCAATGATAACACTAACGCACATCTCTTGGCCGGATGGATAACTCCATTCAAATGGTATCTAGGTAGTCCTTGATTTCAGAAGGGTCCAGTCGGCGGAAGCCAGACTCTTCTACAATTCCTATCTCAATGTTGTTCTGGTCCATCTGTCCGTCAAAGCTCTCCTTCAGAGTCAGAATAGCAGTGTGTATCGCATCTTCTAGTTCGAGGCCTTCTTTTGTGTCTTTGGGATATCTATTTCAATTTCAATAATTGAATGCTAATTTAGGCTAAAAGTAAGGACGAAACTCAAGTTGAAAAAGTAAACTAACCGCTTCTCGAGGAAAGCTCTGGAATTTAGGTGGTTCTTGCCTAGTGCCGTAGCTTTCCAGGCAAAATATGCTCCAGATGGATCACACTGGAAAATAACAGGCACCTTTTTACCATTGGTTCTGTCACGGTCATAGCCAGCTACAAGCAGAGACACACCAAAGGGTCTCACTCCGCTAAATACATAAATTCATAGATAAAATAATCTTTAGAAAACATATTTTCTCAACGAGAAAAAAATATCGTTAATTTGCTCAAGTTCACTAACCCGCTTTGAGTATATTCTTGCATTACTTCAGCAATGCGCATAACTAATTGCACTGTTGGAATCTCCTCTCCATACAGGAGCTCGTATGACACTGCTCTTTTGCGAGCTGCCTTAATCAAAACTCTGTAGTCGGGTCCCATGCCACTGTATACCATGCCAATTGACTTACTCAATTGCTCAACTTTGTACACTGAGTGCTCGTCATATAAGCACGATTTGAAATTTTTCTCAGTAGCGATTACAGCTCCGTTGCGTGCTAAGCAAAATAATTTTTTTTCCCGTACGATTATTGATATATATATACATGGTTTAACAGCCAGCTAAAGAGTTTAACCTAACCTTTAACCGCTACAGAAGGTGCTCCCGCGTTAACAGCAGCCAATGCGTACTCAATTTGAACCAACTTTCCTGATGGGCTAAAGCGATTGGTGATTACAAAATTAATACATGCATTTCTCAGAACTAAAGATGGATCACCTGTTAGCTATTACCTGAAAGTTGTTAGCGAGAAGCTGTATCGTTCACTCATTACTGCAATCTGAAAAAAAAAAATCATCAGTAGCTGTTTTTAATGCTCCGACGAACCAGATCGTTGCGCAGACAAATGTTTTGAATGATTTCCAAGCGTTTCACTTTTATTTGAGCTATGAAAAATTAAAGAAAGCCAACAAAGTTGGAAAAGTGTCAATGAACTCTTTGAACCTAAACTTTTTGACATTTTTGACACAGAGGCGAAGCAGAGCTTCGCACTGCTTTCGATGGACCTCAAACGTAGGAAATGAGGCTGGGTATTAAGCCGAAAACGAAACAGTAAACAGTAGTCATGAAAAATTTCAAGTTTCGAATCAAATTTTTTTTACAACCATCTCTCCAAAAACAGGCAAAAATCTTCGAAAAATTCGCCCGCGAAACTACGCAACATAAAATGAATAAGCCTATATAACATAAGTCGAACCCATTTAACCACAAAAAAAAACAATTCAAAACCAGAGTTGGTAAATTTACAACTACAGAATCAGCTTCAATTTAGTACTGGGAGCCCATCTACCGCTGGAGATACCTGCTTGATTTTTTCCAAATTTTTTCTACTGATGAAGATTGAAATGGGTAAAATTAAAAACTCTAAAAATGGACTTCACCCAAACCCTTAATCGTTTCTCTAAACAAAAAAAAATAAGTAATAGCAAAAAACTATTATAAATTTGAATTTTTCCAAATACAAACATTTTTCTTACAATTTTTAAAGTGCGACCGTGCTAATATCCACGGGGCTTCCCATACTCTCATTCCGCGATTAAATCCTTGATATCAGATTCAGCTGGGTTGTTTCCAAGAAAAAAAAGTTTCAAAAACGGACAAGAAATCAAAACATTGACTTTTCTGAGCCAAAAACTTTTTGTAAACTTACACGAAGTCGCTTATACAGGGGAGGTTCTTCTTTTGATTGAATCTAAAATCTCACATTTTCTGCCTGCTATTTTTTTTCATAGCTCATGCATTTGATTGAACCCAAAACCTTCGCGACAGGACAAAAAGTTCCAACGTCAGTCGAAAATCAAAATTTGACTTTTCTGAAAGTCATAATGTTTGTGTTAAAAACTTGGGCATAGCCGCTTACGCAGAGGACCTTCACACGAACTGTTCGTTCGATTGAACGATAACTTTATGAGAAAAATCTGATCAAACCCACTTACTTATTCTCTGATTTGATCTCAAAAGCTCAGATTGGGGAAGGTATTTTTTGCAAGAAGTCGAAAAGTTTCAAAAACCGGTTAAAAAATCAGATGTTTTAATTTTCCGAGGGTCGTGAAATTTGTGTGAAACATGGGCATAGCCGCTAACGCATGTGGATTTTCACTCAACCAGTGCTTGCAAGTGAAAAAAAACTCTGAATTGGGAGCGTAGTTTTCGAGAAACGTCAAAAAATTTGAAAAAACAACGGTCAAAAAATCAGTTTTGACTTTTCCGAGAGCCAAATTTTTTTTGTGGCAAAATCAGGGCAAAACCGCTTAACCAGGGTAGCTTTCCGTAACTTTTTTTTATTCCATTGTACCCAAAATCTCAAATTTGGGACTGTAGTTTTTGAGAAAGTAAAAAAGTTCAAAAACTTGTACCAACATTAGTCAGAAAAAAAAACAAATTACAAGCAATTGCAAACAAGCCTTGATCTTAAGATGTTTTATTGTGACACGAAAGACTAATTGGCCGCCGACAACGAAAGAAGTTGAGAAAACTTCGTTTGCCATGCATTTAACACAATATCTAAACCAATGCATCTGAATCCATCTTACGATCATTTTCACAAAACAGACCGCTCTCTGCCACCACAGCTTTTTCAAAAGCATACGAAAAATTCCTTCAAAAACAGATATATTTGCATCTATAAAAACAGCATCTCATATATCTCACACAATTTGGCTTCTGACCAAAATATTCTACAAAAATGCTATTGTTTTTCTACTTGAGCCAAAACGAAAATAACTAGCTGAGCAAAAAAAAAAACTGTTAATGCTGTCCTGCTTGATCTCTAAAGCCTTTATTTTGCTATCTTTCATTTTTAATAACTACATTACAATCATTCAATTTTTCATATCAGCACAACCTGATCCGCTTTTAATTCGAACATGTTACATTGTGCCCGGTGGATGGTAATTTTTTGAATGGATTGAACTAAGACAAGGAGTACCTGAGGCTCTGTTGTTGGAACACTACTGTTGAAGTTGTATGTTAAACATTTTTCAAAAATTTGGGTTGCACGGACAATAACTGCGCAATAAGCAGATGAATGTTCGTTTTTTTCTAGCCAAGAAAGTTCTCAAGCAGTTCTCTACGATTTGCAACAGAAATAAAGCTACTTTGAGAGGTTTTTTTTAATTCACATCATCTGAAATCTAAAAGCACTTAAAAATAGAAATAACTTCGAATGGAAATTATACTGCGCCGAATAGTAGAAAAATTACCTAATGCCGACTGACTGACGTTAGAAACCTTAATTCTACATATGTTTTCACTGACCTAGCCAGTTGATTTTGGTCTTTTCAAGGGCCAACAAACTTGTTACAACTTCTGGGCTATCAGCCGAACGAATCTTATTAGGAAGACAGAGACGATCTGCAGAGGTCTCTGAATTGACTTTCATGATTTTCACAAGATAGAAACGAACTGCAGAGGGATCTGAATCTGACTTTTAACGTGATCCAAAGGAAGTTAATGAAGTTTAATCTGTCAAAAAGTCAAACTTAACTTATCAGGAAGTGCAACGACGACGGAATTTTTTTTACACTGGATGGCAGATCAACTTAGAGCAATGTAGAAAACGAGAAAGACCTGGAAATCATCACTGACTCAAGATTACTTTTCTGTGAACACAAAGCCAAGAAAACAAAATTAGCTTGATGATTTTTGAATTCAATAAAGAATGATTTTTGAATTCAATAAAAAAAATCAGGGCGATCCTCTTCAAAAACTTGTTAAAACCGCATCTGCAAAATGCCAATCAATAGTGGAACCCATACCTGAAGAAAGACAAAGTTGCGCTTGAAAGGGTTCAGCGAAGGGCACCCAGACTAAACCAAATTTTAAGCAAGTGAGTTTACTCTGAAAGACTTAAAATACTGAAGCTTCCTATCCTTGAGTACAGAAGACGACGTGGCAATTTGATTATATGTATATAAAACCTTAAACTGAGTCTACGATGTAACAGCAACTGAAGGACTGTTTACAGTAAATGGAAGAAACTCTCGTGGTAACCAAAGGAAACTCATAACGAGGAAGTCAAGAACCTAGACATGAAATCATAGCAGCCATAAACGACTGCAACTCACTGCCAGATCTGTAACTTCAAGCGTTCATATCAAATTAATCAAATCGAGGCTGGAAAACACTGAGAAAAAGATATGAACGATATAACCTTTCTCGAATGACGAGTGGACGTTCACAGAAAGAGCAGATCGTCAGAGGTTGAAGAGCCTGTAGATCAGAAGATATCTGTGTACCTGTTAGCGTTCGACAACATTCATATAAGAAACACAGAGTTGAGTTTCGAATTCCTAGACAAGAGGCTTATGACTAAATATGGGGCTAAAAGTTTTCGAATATTTCTTGATTTTGCCAATTGTAAGTAAAGGGTCAAAACGAGGTCAATTTGGTTCCCTCAAAAAAGGCATCTAATTACTACTTAGCGCAAAAAAGGCATCTAATAATGCTACTACTTAGCGCATAAAAATTATCATTACGAAAAATCGAAAAGCAATTTCTGGCACAGAACACCTATACTAGCAAACAAAATTTTACAGACTCAGGAAGAAGAAGACCTGTTTGCGATGAAATACGAAAGACTCAAATCAAGCCTCAAAAACGTTTTCTGGATATATTTCATCAGTAAATATGAGGAAAGTGTCCCATGCACATGGAGAATAAACTGCTGCATTAGCTGTGTAAACTCAAAGAAACTATAAAACTCAGTTTAAAACTCCCAACGCGGGGCATTTTAGCCCCATGGCTTTATGTCTAAATCCTTGTTTCTTATTATTATTATTATTATTCCTTCAGCCAATTGTTTTTCTGATTCATAATTTTAGCATAGTGGATTTCACTGCCACCAGAGCTTTCAGGTTTCACTTTCAGTCAGCATATTTTCAAGAAAAACTGCAAGATCAGCTCAAAAACAACGTTAAGATTCTCAATGCTACTACGTGGCGTAACTATCGGATTAGTTCAAGAATTTATGAAATTCCTATTGCTCTCGCGTTCAAAATTTTAGGGCTGCTTATTCACATAGTTTTCAACAGGAAACTTAATGTTCACTTAGACTACCTTGTATTTAATTTTTCCTTCTTATTTACTAAATACACAAAATACAGCTTGTTTTCATGTTACAGTTCATCCTGCTTTGGCTACTTTGAGGTCTCCATAGAGCCCAAGTTCAGCCAACAGAAGGCGAAAATAAGGCAGCGGCCTTAAAAAGGTGTTTTACGGTAAGGTCATGCCATTGAACTACAATTAAATCCGATGTCGAAAAGCGCATCGACATCGAAAAGCATGGCATTTAGCGCTCTCGACTCTGAGCAGTAGACTATCGGCAAAATTTTTGTCTTCACCATTTAGACGGTTGTGACGTATTGCATTTCAATACAGCCAATTTGAAATGAATGATTTTGTATCAAATTGACATTTAATTGAAAGCGCTTGTGACCGATGTTAGTAAAAAGTAGCTAATAATAACCGTGCTATAAAAACCGAGCTGTATTTTTCCGATTGAGGAGGTAAAACCGAGAAGAATAGATCTGACTAACAGATCACTCAGAGAAAAATGTTTCGGAAAGCTAAGAAAATAAATAAATTTTATCATTTTTAGATAGCTAGTAGCGCTAATAATAAGATTTTAACTTTTTTTCATTTTAAAGGTATTCCAGACGGTCAAAAGTATCATAGTAACCGAGGTTACAGTCACGAGTCCCTTCATCACGTATTCCAGTCAAAATCCTTGGAATTTTCTTGATATGGAAGTGAAAGTAATAAAAAGGAGATGATAAGTTTTGATG